GAATTAGTCGTAAATCAGACCAACTTCATGAACCTTAGTGGATGAACAATTGTGACAAAACTTATTAAGCCTTGAATCAAGCGGATGTCATATGGCCTTCAGGCCAGGGATATTTCACATAGCTGTACTACTATCATTTGCTTTTAGTTTTACTAAGTCAGGATTGATCCTATCATCAAATATTCAATCTTCAAAATAATTCATATTCTAGAAAAAAAATCTAGAAAATGTCTATGTTTATATTTTATATAAGCTACTGTACTTAGGAATTTCATGTCAAATACAGTGAACCCTCAGTGAAAATTCGGTGAATGAAATCCTAGCCCTGATGAAGAAGAGAGCAGAATTTCTTTAATTTTTCTGTGAGCCAGATTTCATCTAAAGTCTTTGACAGACATGCACCAAGACTAAATGACAGCACTCAAACTTGAAGTGATCCACAATATCAACACACATATTACTTGAAATATTTCCAATTAATCTATGTCCATATAAATTCAGATGTTGCAGTAGTGGAACTATGCATCTATGCGTAATAAATCCATCTGTCTTTTAATACCAATAAGGCATCAGCAAGGATGTTAATCACTTAGTATAAACATAAATATGTACTTCAATAAATAAAAACAATATAAGAAATCCAGGCTTTGAGCTTCTGAATACTTTCATAGGTATGTAGCTCTACAAGAGTCACTGAGATGACTCATAAATAAAATTGCCCATGAAATTGAGTTCTGTGATAAGGAATCTGGAGAATTTCCAAAAATACTCAGAAGAAACAAGTGAAAAGCATTGAAAGTGGGTCCTTTCTCCCTTCTCTCCTAGCCACAGTGATTTTAATTTGTGTCATGGTCCTAGGCTATTTGTAAGTGGAAATCTAGCACACCAAGTAGACCAGACTTTCACCAGGCTAGCCATACATGGTTTTCTCCTCCGTCCTTTTAATTATACTATACCTTTATCCCTCTATCACAAACATATGACACCTCATCCACTATCCCATTTGACACCTTTGCTTTTTCCACAGTTTAATGCTAGCCACCTGGAAGCAGGTATCTGTATATGGGCAACTATTTAAATGGAAGAGATGAAAACTAGTACAAAAATTGTGAAGCAGATAAGGACCTGCAAAAGGAAGAGGGCTTATGTTGAAAAGAGATCAATGCATAACACAGAATTTGCTAGATTCTTTAAGAATCGGTCTTATTACTTCAGTATCTCTTAATAATTTCACTAGTAATCTTAGGGAAAAAAAAGAAAATGTAAAATTTACTGTTGATTTCCATCTTGTCAAGAGCACAGACAAGATATTGGAGCCAAGAAATGGTGTTATATTATGGGACAACAAAATCCAAGATTATTCACTAGAGCCTACAAAAAACTTTTGGTATAATCTGGTAGTTGGAGACTCAAAAGTTGTACAGCAGGAGAAAAAATTGTTAGTATTGAGCACAGGACATGCTATAAGCTATCAACATGGGAAAGTCATGAAAGAAAGGCAAATCCCATCTTTATCAGTGTTTAAATGGAGATGACAGACTTAATGCTATTATGCACATTACTAGTAAGAGTTTACTAGAATGCCATTTATAAAAATCTGTCCATCAGTGTTTCAGTCAGACTAATTCAAACTGTAATAGGTCATAGATGTCATCAGGGAAATAAAGAACTTGTTTTATTTAAAGAGATTAAAAGAGGATCTGGTTCAATTAAATAAAAACTGAGTGTTGTATATAAATACATGAAATGGTGAACCAAAGAGAATAACACTTAAGGACATTGTTGAGAGAGAAACAAAAGAGACAATTTCTAATCAGAGTAGTGATGTTCAGGCACTGCCTTCAGTAGGACCAGTGAAGCTGATTTTAACATGAACCACTGGATTACAAAAGATAACGTAATCTGAAAAGCAAAGAGTTTTGGATTGGTGGTTCAGAGGTTTTACTCGAATCCTGGGGGTTTTTTTACTTCTTTTTTGTGCTAAAACTGATGTACTCATGTGAAACTTCCGATTCTGACAAACTGGGTTGTTTTGTTTTTTTTTTCAATAAAAACTAGATAGTACAGTTCCATCTAATATTATGTAATTACGGTGGAACACCAGTACTAAGTGCAGTGAAATAATATGGTGGTTATAGCCAGAAGCAGTCAGAAAACAATGAAGAAAATTAAATCCACATGAAAAACCGACACCAGAATTAAAAGAACGTTTCATTTCATCAGAATATTAATCCAGGACACACATTTTTAAAAACAAAATCAGAAACAGCTCTTTCAGACAAATCTCTCTCAAATGTAATTGGCCTGTGACAAATACTGAGATGATTTTATATCCTTAATTTTAAAAGTTCAAAATCGGTTTTACCTGTGTTCTTATCCTACAGTAAGTATGGTTTGCAATACATGGGAACCCTTAGAATTCACAAATGTGAAGAAAATGTGAAAATTCTGAAAAAGAGGGCAATTTAGATTTTTCTCTGCAGAATGCAAGTAAATATTAAAAAAATTCTGCCTTAATTCTCAAGTGTTATCGTACCAAATGTGTAGTCTAAGCGCAAGCATTCAACTATTAAACATAGAGATTTTAGTCCTGCTATAAGTGCAAACCACAATGCAACCTCAGCTGTGGAGTTACAAGTAACTACTCCTTTGTATACACGTAACACAAAATCTACAGCATAATGGGAAAAGAAAAATAACAATAACATGTCATGTAAATGAAATTTCCCCACAAAAGTGCTCTACCTTTTCATTTTATTTTCTTCTTCCTCCTTACGCAGCTTTAATCCTCATTACGCAGCTTTAATCCTCATTGTTTGTGACTATCTAACAAAGAGCTTGTGACAACTGGGGGGATCTCTCTATGTAAAGCTTATGAATTCTGTTTGATACTTAGCCATCTCTATATATAGCTGTGTCAGGTTGAAAATTCTTTGCTAACCTAAAATCCACAAGGTAACGGGAGAATTTTTTGCTCTTGGCACACGATCAGTAAAAAATTGTTAAACCTTGATAATACCCTATTCAAATACAGTCCCTTGAAGCATGATGATGCTACCAGGTAGGCAAACCTGGTTTGATAGATGAGGTGAGGAGGTAAAAAAAAAGGTGATAAATCATCTTTTCTACACAAATTTCATCACCTGATAAGGGAGCTACCTGACTAAGAAGATAAGGTGGCTGTAAGAGCAAGTGTCTCTTGCTTGGTGTTGTAGACTAAGAACATCTGGTAGTAAGTATTGGAGGGGGATGAAGGACTTGCAGGACTTCTACCTATATTTGGAGAGGAAAATAAAGACAGAGAAATGCAAAGGGGCTCTTGCCTTTAACAGCTGTTCCGAAACCCTTAAAATCTGAGTGTTTGCTTACCCCTGCTGTGAAGAAACTGCATGTCCAGCCTACCGCAAGTTTAAACAAATGGTATTTGAAGGAAGCAGCAGTGCCCCTCAGAAGAGAGGGCAGTAAAACCCCGTGCCGGAGGACTGGGGAAGCGGTGGGCGTTGCTGCTTCAGCAGACCACAGCAAGCTCTCATGGACACCAGCGGCGTGTCGCATGGAGAAACCTGGCTCCAGCAACTGCCCAGTGGCCGAACAGTTGATTTTACCCAGGCTCGGGGTGGGGTGGATACTTTTGTGCAAACGAGCCCTGTCCTGCTAACGTGACCACAGTCACACGGATGCTCAGCGGCCTTCTGCCATCAGGGATTCTTACGCTGCCCGGCTCATCCCCTCCGTGCTTGGCAGCGGGCAGCCCGGGGCTCTCAGCCCTTCTCCACTGCCACGGCACCTGCTTAGCAGCCAGCGGAGAAGCGCTGGGTGCACCTCCCGACCGCGGCCCCTTTCCCGCCCAGCTGGGGAACCCCGCGGCCGCCCAGACGAGCGGTGACGGAAAA